GCGGCTGACGGGGTAGCTGATGTCGGCCAGCTCGCTCTCGGGCGTGCGCGGAACGCTCGCGCTGCCCTGGCTGCCCGGATGCGAGGAGGCCGAGTGCAGTCCGCCGTGCCCGCCGCTGGCGTCGTCCGAGATGGTACGATCGTAGGCGGGAGGTTGCCTCGTCGACGTGGGGCGGCCGCGCTCGGTGGCACTGACAAAGGGCGGGGGCGAGGGCGACGGTGCTCGACTGCCCGGGCGGCTGCTGGAGGGCGAGGGGCTGTGGCTGATGCGGTCCATTCCCGAGGCGAGGCGGCGGCCGCGCGAAATGGCCCTCGCCATCGAGGCCGGGATGCTGCCGCCGGGGCTGTGGGAACGCAGGCCAAAGGCGGAGCTGCCGCGCATTGGCCTGGACGACGAAGCCGAGGACCTGCCGCGCTCCTCGGTAGCGGCTGCGGAGGCGGCGGGACCGATGGAGAGGGAGCGCTGGCCGTGGCCGTGGTGGGACGACGAGGATGGCGGGTGGGCGTTTGCGTGGCCGTGCTTGTGGGAGTGGTGCTTGTCCTTGTCGTGGTGGGGTATGCCGATTTCGACGACGCGCTCGAGGACGGTCGAGTCTTCCCAGCTGATGGGGGTGAGTCCGGTGCTTGCGTCGAGGATGGCGACGGTCTGTACGGCCTTTAGGCGTACGCGGATGCCGGCAATGTGGCGGTTCGAGGGGACGTAGAGCTCGACCATGCCGCGGACCAGCTCGTCGTTTGCCTGCGGGGGGCGCTCGTGGGACTCGGGGAGGGGACGGTCCGGGGGATGGAGGAAGATGGCATTCTGTAGGAGGTGGAGCCGCAGCTCGCAGGGCTGGAAGAGAGTGGAGAACATGGTGGTGGTTTTGGGGTTGACACGGGTGGTGGAGCTCGAGTGGGAGTGTCGGATGAGGTGGTGCGCCTGCGAGGCGGCGGGGTGCAGAGGGTTGTCTAGACGGCGATGGGCATCGTCGAGGGTTGCTGCGAAGCGAAAGAGGAGTTGTAGCGTCGATCAAGAAGCAAGCACTGGGAGCAGGTGTCGGGTGGCAGCCAGAAAGCAGAGGCAAAGGAGGGCAGAATATCGGCAGACGAGGCGATGGTGGGTCAGAGGCAGGTCGTGGCGAGGTCGAGTGGGGATGAAGTGCGGCTGTTTGATGGGTGGCCGCGTGGGTGGTGGATGCGAGGTTGAGCGAGTGGTGACAAGAGAGGTGGTTGTACGGCGGTGATGTGCAAGTCGAGTGAATGTGATTGCGTCGTCGTTGTGGGTGGATGGTTGGTTGGTGGGTGCGGCTGGCGTCGTGGTGATGGTGATGGTGATGGTGATGGCGCGGGCGCGGGCAGCCTGTTGGAAGAAGTGGGCTTGAGCCCGTGGCCAGCCAACTCGCCCGCCCACCGGCTCAGCCACCAGGGTTCGAGCGGGACCGTGGGTCGGTGCGGCAGCGGCAGCGGCAGCGGTGAGCGAGCGAGGGAGCGGGCCAGAGGCAGGCCCAGGCGCAGGCCCAGGCGCAGGCGCAGGACCCCACCCACGCACGAAATTTGCCCTTGCCCGTGCCTGCGCCTGGGCCTGCGCTTGACTCACCGTCCAAGCAAAGGCGGAGTCCTGCCTTCACTTTGGCCATGCCATGCCATGCCTGCTCGCTCGGCCTCGGAGAAAAAGCGTTTGCCAGCCCCCAACGTGCCCATGAGGCCGCGGCGAATTCTCCGATGTCAGAAAGGAGAAGAAGACGACGTGCCTGGCGCTTCCCCTCCTGCCCCGCCTCTTGCTCGCCACCACCACGACCGCTAGGGGCCACGCATCGTCGACCAATCAGCCGCACCTGGTCCCATCCCGAGCCCCTCTGCCGCCGGTCTACCACGCGCCATCCTTCGGCCTCGGTTTCGGCCCCTCGGCCTCTCGATCGGCTTTGTCTCGTCTTGCCCGCCCGCTCCATGCCTGCCTCGATCTTTCTTCCTGTCCTGGCCACGAGACGTATGCCGAGCGATAGGTATCATTCCAAGTGGTCAGCGCCCTGAACCAGGCGCAACCAACCTCTGTCGCCGCCACCCAGCCTCTCCCTGCTACTGGTACTGCCCACTGCCGCGCCCTACACGCCAAACTTCTCCTGCCTGACGCGCGACGCCGCCACCCCCTGGCCCTCGAGGAAGCGCGCCACATCGTCCATAAAGGTATCCGGCCCGCACACAAAGTAGAGGGCCCGCTCGTCGTCCAGGAACAGGTCCTTGGCGCCATCGAGCTCGTCGAGCTTGACCCGCGACGCAAAGTCGTAGTCGACGCCGCGCACCGCACCGGCAACGGGGTTCTTGAGGAACAGCGTCCGCCTCACGCTGCTCCGATCGCGGCAGATGCGCCTCACGTCGTCGTCGAACGCCAGCACCTTGGACGACCTCGCGCCGTGGATCATGTGCACCGGCCGCGCCGCACCCTCGCCCTCGCCCTCGCCCTGCTCCTCTGCCAGCACGCCGAGGATCGACATCATCGGCGTGATGCCCACGCCCGCCGAGATGAGCACCACGGGCGCGCCCCGCTGCTCGGCCCTCTCCGGGTCAAAGAAAAAGGCGCCGCGCGGGTGCGACACGTCGATGCGGTCGCCCTCGTGCACCCGGTCGTGCATCAGGTTCGAGATGAACGCCGGCTCGGGCAGGTCGGCCACGCGCGGCTCGCGCTTGACGCTGATGCGGTACTGGCGGCCGTTGGGCGCCTGGCTGAGCGAGTACTGCCGCGGCTGCAAGAACTCGGTGCCCGGGACGCGCAAGCGCACCGAGACGTACTGGCCCGGCTTGAACGACGGCAGGGGCTGCGGCTGCGCTTGCGCGCCGTCGCTACTAGGTGGGGCCTCGAGATAGAACGAGGTGATCTCGTCCGACTCTTGCTGCTTGCTGACGACGACGAGGGGGCGGAAGCCGGTCCAGGCGGGGTCCTCGCCGTAGATCTGGGCCTCGCGCTCGATCATGATGTTGGCGAGGATCCAGTAGGCGGCGGCCCAGGCGTCGTGGACGTCGGGCGTGAATGCGTCGCCGCCGAGCACCTCGGCCATGGCGGCGAGGAGGTACTTGCCCACGACGGCGTACTGGGCCGGCTCGACGCCGAGCGAGGCGTGCTTGTGCGACACCTTTTCGACAAAGTCGGCCAGCACCGCGGGCTCGGTAATGTGGCTGGCGTAGGCGAGGAGGCCGTGGGCGAGCGCCTTTGGCTGGCGGCCCGTGAGCATGTTGGTCATGCCAAAGACGTTTTTCAGCGCCGGGTTCTCCTCGAGGAGGTGGCGGTAGAAGGTGGTGGTGATGTGCTCGCCGTGCTGCTTGAGCACGGGCACCGTCGCCTGGATGATGGCGACCTGCTGCGACGTGAGCGACATGGCGGACGGCGTGTGCGGGACGAGGAGAGGGTGGGGGATGCTGGCTTGGCCTGGGGTCCGATGTGGTGGCGATGGGGTTGGTGATTGGGGGGTCCTGTTGAGCGAGGGGATGACGGCGAGGAAACTGGGCAGGCAGCCGCGGTCGTTGTTTTATCTGCCACGGACGTCGTCCTGGCCAGCGTCTAGAGCATACATAGCCTTGCCTGGCTGACTCTTGCTTGCTTGTCGCCTGGCGGTCACCCTCGTCGGTCCTGTCGAGGGCAGGCGATCAGCGCACCCTATCGCCGCTTGCCGCCGTCTGTGGCCCAGCCTGCTCTGCCTGGCTAGCCTAGCATAGCATGTGGTTGGGTGCAGCGGCCCACATGGAGGCCGCAAGCTACGGTGGGCGGATGGAGCAGGGTGCGAGCGGGAGAGTAGCGCTGACTGAAACGCGTGGCCGACATCGGCCGACATCGACGAGGGAGCGGCTAGGCAACGAGGAAAAAGTGGCCGAGAACCCGCCGCGCTGCGCTGCGCTGCCCGGATACCGTTTCCAGCCGTGACAAATCCCCAGGCGCTGCTTTGGACCAGCAGGCGGCCAAGCTTGATTGATCTGACCGTCGTACATACGTGCCCGCGTGATGAGGCCTGGCCCGCTGCGAGGACAAAGTCGGGACGGCAAGGCGAGGCCAGGCCAGGCGTCCCCGCAATCCGGTGCGGGTCGTCGGTCGGCAACGGCGCCATTCAGTTCCCCTTTCATCCCTCCGCAGGCCCGCAGCCCCCTCCCATGCCGTGCCGTGCCTGATGGTCCGCTCCTTGATTCTCCGGCCGGCCAAGTTCGGGAACGGCGTGGGTCGAGGGTCGAGGGTCGAGGGTCGAGGGTGCGGGCGCCACCAACGTCGATCCGTGTCCCACCTGCCTCTCTGCCCTTTGCCCTGGCCTCGGCCTTGTCCGATGTACGTGCGCCACCTGCCTGCTCAAGTCAAGCCAAGGCCAGGCCAGGTCAGGCCAGGCCAGGCCAGGGTGCAAGCAAACAACGGCGCGGCGGCGGCGGCGGGTGCGAAAATTAGAGCTGGGTCCCTGGCCTCGTGGCGAGCGCCTGCCTGCCCTCGCTCGCGTTCCTCGGGAGATTGCGGATTGCCGCCGTTCCATGACGAGGCGGTACCACCCGTACGTGACGATGGCGATGGCAGCCAGCCGTGTGCTGGTCTGTCCACTGTACTTGCTTCGTCACTGGCTACGGCAGGTCGAGCCCCGGGTCCCACCGTCGCTCGCTCGTGTGCGCCGTACCTGATTCCGACGCCGATTGACAACGGCCAGTCACTCTTGCGACGCAGCCGCTCTGCGAGACAGCAGACCAGGCAGTTCCGGACGACGCTCATGGTCTCAGCCAGCGATACCTAGGTGCGGATCGGCAGCTGCTCGGCCTGGGCGACTCCCCACCGGCCTAGACGAGAGTCGAGCAGACGAGACCTCAGGTCGATCCGAATCGAAGCCGCCCGGCCATCGGCTCGGGACGGTAGGGCAGATCGGGACTGGGCAGATCGGGCTCGCTATCGCGATTTGCTACTCCAGATCAGGCTGAGCTGGCTCTCGAAGCGTGGAAAACAGCCCTCGTCGCAGGGATGCGATGCTTTGACATGGTGCAGGCCGAGCTGCAGAGGTGGGCATCCTTGACAGAGAGGCCGGCTTGCATTGCACAGCGTGGTCAGCTACGAGCAGAGGTATTGGAGGAGTGCAGCTTTGTCCCTGGTGTACCAGCTGATGAGCGCCCCAGATGAAGAGGCCAAGAGTCAGGCCTGTGTTGCTGTCTGAAAGAAGCAAGCCAGCCTTAATCGGAGGCAAGCGAGAGACGACTTTCGAGTGCGGGGAGGGGACGGGGGCAGGCCAAAGCACCGGGCGGCAGGGCGGCGAGGCGAGGCGAGGCACGCGGACGGGCGCCAAAAGAGCCGAAGAGCCGAGCGCAGCCCCCCATCTGAGAAGTCGGCCTCGGCTCCACCACCACCACCACCACCACCACCATCACCACCACCACCGCCATCCACCTCCTACCCCTTCCTGCTCTGGCTGCAACCAGCCATCCGTCCGCCAACCTATCTTGCACACTCCATCAGCCTACCTCGACGGCGACGGCTGTCTACAGCCACTCGCTGGCCAACCCGAGGATTACGACGCACCCCGCTGCACCTGCCGCCCCAGGTCAGCCTCGCTTGGCCCACGATGCCAAAGTACACCGACTCGGCCCACGACACGAGCCCACCAGCGGCGCCATCCGCAGCCTCGACCACCGCTGCTGCCGGTGCATCCACGCCCGCGCCCGCCGCACGCAGCCGCCGCCCAGAGCTGCGTTCCCGACGCGGCTGCCTCACCTGCAAGCAGCGGCGCAAAAAGTGCGACGAAGACTTCAAGACCAGGGCAAACGGCGCCGTAGCCTGCACCCGCTGCAGCGAACGCAAGCTCGAATGCGTGCCGCCAAACAGCGCTGCTGCCGCCAACAGTAGCGGTGGCTCCAGCAACATCGCCGGGCGTATTGGTGCACCAAACGGCGGCGGCGGGGGGGACGACCTCACCTCAGCATCCTCGATACGTCCCGCAGTCGCATCAAGCTCTCGGGCGGCCCCACCGCAAGGCTCGACGCTCCTCGGCGCACAGCAGCACCAGCACCAGCAACACCAGGCCCGCTCGCCGCTCTCGCAGCAGTCCTACCCCTCGCCCTCGCCGCACCAGCAGCCTCCACAGCAACAGCAGCAGCAGCAGCCGCAGACGCCCTATGCCCACCAGCAGCATCCGTCACTCCACCACGTTGCATGGAATCTCGGATCGCTCGGCAATGGCGCCGCGGCCTACAGTGCCCACTTCCCCTTCCTCGGCGTCACCAACCAGCCGCAGCTGTTTGGCGCACCGCAGAACAACGGCGGCTACGGCTCGCTGCCTCGCACATCTGCCCGCTTCAACCAGGGCAGCGCCGCCACGCCGCCGTGGCAGGGCGGCTTCCAGGACGCCGGCATGGGCCAGGCGCCCGGCCAGATGTCGCTCGCAGGCCAGCAGCTGGGCGCCATGCAGAGCGCCGACTTCTCGGCTGCTGCCGCCGCGGGGGCGCTGCCGCAGAACGGCAACCCGTCGGCCATGGCCGCCCAGTTCATCCCGAGCGTCGGAGCCAACGACCTCGACAACATGATGCTCGACGACTTTGTCCAGGAGCTCATGAGCCTGGCCGACCCGGCCTCGGGCGCCGATGGCGGCCCGTACTTTGGCACCGCGACCAACTCGAGCCCGGCGACCCGCCGCAATGCCTCTTCGACGCCTGGACATCCGCCCGCGCCAGGCTCGGTGGCGGCCTCGTCGATCGCCAGCGCCGATGCTCCGATGCCGGACCACAACGGCGTCGCAGCAACGCACGGTGCCGGCAGCTCGCGGTCCGACCCGACGTCGTCGTCGCTCGCTGGGGCCAGGGCAAAGGACGGCACGGGCGAGAGGAGCAGGTTCACGTCGCTCGAGGCCGGAAAAGCGCAGAGCCGGTACTCCAAGTTCCTCGACTCGAACGCAATGGAGCCACTGCTGAAAAAGTACAGCCCGATCTGTGAGTGCCGCCGCCCGCGCGCCCCGCTGTCGCACGTGAACGCTCCGCTGACCGTTCCGGGCTTTGTCGTGTCCTCCCGCTTCGCCTCTTGCCCGCCGGCCAGACGAGCGCTTCTGGTACTCGACGCTGATGCTGAGCGAGGTCGACAAGCGCAAGGCCATCATCGACCATCTGATGGGCGTCGTCCACTCGCACAAGACGTGCCAGGCGTCGACGGTCGCCGTCTGCCTCGCCTACCACGACCTGGTCCAGCGCATCCGGCAGGAAGAAAAGGCGGCGGCGCAGCGCAAGCTGGCCCAGGAGTCGTCCAGCGAGGACGCCCTCAAGTCGTTTGGCATCGGCGCGGGCCCCACGTTCTCCACGCTCGCCTCGCACGGGCTCGGCGACAAGGACGAGTCCAAGGACAAGCTGCACGCCAACACGCCGGCTCTCAGCCTGCAGCTGCTGCAGATGTTCCCGGAGAACCTGCGCCATCACAAGCGGCCGATGGGCGGCTCGCGGTCCCGCAAGGACGGCGAGGGCGGACAAGGCGACGGCGTCGGCGAGAAGCATGGCGGCAACGGCGGCGACGACGACGACGACGACGACGGAAGCGACGGCGACCGGGACAGTGAGACGGACGAGAGCGCCGACAGCCTGGGCGGATCCGAGCCGGACGTGGCCCGCGACGGCGAGAGCGGATCCCGCACCGCTGCAGTCGCAGACGCGACGAGGACTTCGACGGATGCGCCAGCAGGAGGTCGGCCCGACATGCCTTCCTCTCGAGCCAGGCAAAAGAGCGAGTCTGGCGGGTCTTCTTCGGCTGCCGCTGTAGGTGCAGGCAAGCTCGGCGGCAGCAGCGGCAACGGCGGCGGCGGCAGCGCGCACCGAGCGCGCTTCGCCTCTTCGACGATGGCGGCGATCCGGTCGCCCGAGGTGTGGTTCGAGCTGGCGCTCGACGCGATGCGGCGCGAGGTGTCGGACCTGAGCATCGAGCAGCAGCTGTGCATCACCATCAACCTGCGCTGGGCGCTCATCTGCTTTGGCGGCGCGGTCAAGGCGCGCGAGTTTATGGACGAGATCGGCGACGTCATCGACCGGTCCGGGTACGACCTCAACACGCTCATCGCGGGCGAGCGGGCGGGCACGCTGGCATCGACGATGCTGCAGACGGCCGTCATCAGCGACGTGCTCGACGCGGCGTGCCGGCGCGGACGGCGGCCGAGGACGAGGCTGAACCGCTCGGCGGGCATGGTGCGCCAGCCGCCGCCGAAGCAGCACCAGCCCCCGCCGCCCTTCTTTAGCAAGATCTCGCCGGTGACGTACGAGCTGCTGGGCTGCACGCTCGAGGTGTCCAACCTGGGCGCCGACATGGTCGAGGGCAAAGTGACGGACCCGGCCGAGATTGCGCGCAAGAGCAGCGATCTGGAGGACAAGATTGCGCGCTGCGCGCCGTGGTGCGACCCCAACGTGAGCGGCAAGATGCGGATCAAGCTGTTTGCGCTGCAGGAGATCTGGCGGCAGACGACGCTCATCCACCTGTTCCAGACGGTGCACCGCCACGGCCCGCTGTCTGCCAAGCTGCAGGGGGCGCTCGAGGAGATCATCGGGCTGGCGACGATGCTGTCGTCAGCGTCGTCCAACG